CTACTATCAGATGGATGAGTTTAAATCTAAATTCACATAGCGTTTGTGACCAAAATTTTATTCATATTAAAGTTAAGCTGAACTCGAAAAGTATGAATAGTCATATGAGTTGTCGTCCTATTTCGTTTAAGGTGATGAAGGACTGGTAGTTAAATTTTCCCACAATGATGTAAACAAAACTGACGTTTCCATTGAACTTCACATAGCCTTGCTTTCACAAAAGGTGTTCTCATTCAGGGTGGACTGCAGTTTGCACCTCGCATAGGTCTTATCAACACACCCAGCGGGACTTGAACCATGGCAATGGTACTCCATATATCTGATTTACTGGTAGCCTCGAAAACATAACCGAAACGAAAAATATGAATAGTCAGTAGGAAACCCAGACTCCTGGATGTTTATCACAGCTGAATGCGCCTAATATCGTGATTTTAACTATTTTGTTACCCAATAATAAATAAGGGTGATGGTGCTGCGACCAAACAGAAGGTCACATCATCTTGGTCTTCATATCCATGATCTATTTTTTAGCTTATTGCTATACATGTTAGTGGCTAAACACTTGAATCTGATACATTTTGCCTAATACCTTGAGGATAATTCATGCTTTCCACGCTTTTGAGACAGGGTATCTCGCAGACGGTACACTTCGTTCACAACATTATGTACTTTCCTTATGATTCCGTGAGGGATTCAATAAGCAAAATTTTGCTTTAATAGAAAAATCTTTGGTTTTGACCTCTAACATCTTTGATTAATAAAAATCGTATAAACTTATATCTGATCATTTTAAGGTCTACTTTTTTGTAAATTTGGCTTTCTGCAACTATTTCAGTCCCAAATGACAATTCTGGCTCAAAGAGTATACGAGTCAATTCCAGAAGTGACTTGAAGTCTGGAAAAGAACTTCAAAACTGGAGGAAAATATTTTGGAATCGAAGTCTAATTCTCAAGTTTCGCTGACTCCAAATCGCATTCCACCCCTTATGCTTTACAGACTTCTGAGCTTATTCAGCCATCACTTCACTAGAATTCTGTCTAAACCTATCAATCTTAGTAGATAAAATGTTATTACTCATATTGATTTAACCAAAATCTTGGAGAAAAAGAATCAAGTTTGTAGCATATGAAATTTGTGAAGTCCTCAAAAATAACATTCTATTTCCCATACTGGACCAATTCTCAAAACCACATTTATATATGTCGGTGGATTCTATTTTTGTTTAGCAGATCAATAACTGACTCTTAATTTTATTTAAACTTCTTTCGCCTTGTAAATTATTCTTTATAGATACATACAAATGAGAGCCTAAGTGCACATTGTATGGGGATGTGATTAAATACTCAAAATGAGTTTAATGATAGAGTAGTTTTTGGACATTTCACTTATGGACAAGCAGTTAAACCAGCGCAATAGCCTTTTTTGAGTAGATAGGGACACTTTGCCGCAGACAAATTTAGCTTGCCACTTCGAATAATTGGCGTAACTCGTTTGGCGCCCCGAAAAATAGTCGTGGAATAACTTTTTGGAGACATTGGAAGAAAATTCAGTCTTTCAGCTCTTCCCGCCAACTACAGCTATAAGCTTCCTTGTTTTATCGTCTGAAATCAGTCGAATAACTGAAGGACTTCATCAGAAAAGAACTATTTAGTGATCAAATAGCAATTTTCATGATACAGATTTTTGATTCCTTAAATTGAAGATGCTGTGCCAAGAGCTCGGTCCTTTGGCCCCCATGAGCGGGGAAAATAAATGGGTCCAGAAGATAGTACCGAGTCATCACCGAGTTTAAAATACTTCGAAGACTTCCAACTATGCATAACCAGATAAAAAGTCTCAGTTTGGAGAATATCGAACCGTGTCTTCAGCTGTGATTGGATTAGTCAAAACTTATAAAGTCTTATCCCAAGAGTAGTATGGGCTGCTGATGCTTTCTTACGATGGAGAAGAGGCTTTATTATTATCTGTTATGACTTGGTAGAGCAGATGTTTCTCAGCTACGTCTGACATTGCTCGCTCATAGAGTTTCAGACAGACACACATGGAGATCGGATTTCAACTCATTAGGCAGCTTGCTAATTGTAGGCCATAAGTAGTACTTGTTGAGTGATTTTTTAGAACTTTGCTTAATGCTAGCGCCAAATTCAGTTGCCATATATAGGAGCCCAACTGCCTCCGAGGCCAATCCAGGTAAGGCAAAGTGATAATTCGTAAGAAAGTAGGGTTTCGAGACTACCAGTAAATCATTGTAATGAGATGTATTCACCCTATTTC